GATACTGTTCATGGAAAGCCTCTCCAGAACAAACCATCTCATTCACTCTAAGTGGCCGAGAAGGAGGCGGTCTTATTGGAATGGGTAGACCACGTCCTCCAAAGGACGCAGCCCCTGAATTCAGACACAGCTCAAAACTCCCGCTTCTGCATCTGAGTCTAGTGTGTGTGTGTGTGTGTGTGCACCACTCTGAGGTTTCCCTCGATGAAGCCAAAGAGTCCACTGTTCTGCTTGTCCCTGACCTTCATGCACAACCAACCTCACTATTCGGGCTCAACACTCAACCTGCTGACCAGCAGGAAAAAAGAAGCCAGCCCATCAAAAGCTCTCCTTGTGACTCACTGTACGCAAGCTTTTCCAAAGACACCTCTTAACCAAACATCGAACAAAAATAAATTACCGCAGCATCGTTGTTATCCAGAGTAATGTGTGGTTCCGAAGAACACACAAAAAACCGAATAGGTTGGGAGACCGCAGCTTCCGACATGAGTCAACCCCCTCTCGGGGCAGCGATTACCCCTGAGAGACGAGAGATGATCTCCGGAGCAGGGGTCTCCTCTTGCTCCCATCCAGTCCCTAGCACCTGCCAAACAGCATCACATCCCATGAGCCCCCTCTCCATCAGCCGCTCGCTCCTTCCTGCCCCCTCTGAGGGGAAGCAGCTGAGGATAAGCCTGAACCTCTACAAATCCCTTATGGCAAATAAGTACTTTGGTGAATTACATCAGTGTAAAAAAATCAAAGTGTTTTTGATGCATTGCTGCTCTTGGTGAAGGCAGTGGTGTAAAAAAAGTGTGAGTGTGTTTCATTTTGAACCACAAGACATTCTGCACATATTCCTCCATAAACAATCAGTCAGTGTAAAGAGGAAGAACTCACCTTTTGTAGGCTGGTTGGGTTCAACTGAGTTTTGTCAATGATTTTTATTGCAACCTGGAAGAGACATCGACCAAGTTTCAGAAAAACAAATCAACATCATTATTTGCCTTTGCTTAGAATCACCTCCCTGCACGATGCCAGGAAGCCTGTCCCGCTGATGTCACTGATCCACGTCCAACAATCCTTTCTTAACATCCCAAAATGTAGATAAATATAGCTCAGAGGAGATTATTCTATTGTTTACCAGAGCAGGTGAATGTGGGCTGAGGGCAGTGTATACAGTTACTCCAACAAGCTGTAGTAAAGCCATTTTGAGTGGGTTTTAATCCCCACTGACTTGCATTGGCACGACTATCCCAGGCTAATGATGGTTCACTGCCAATTTCAGGAAACAAGAAAAGAAAAACTGGTTTCAAAGTGTTTTGGGCATCATGTAGACATGGACTAAAAAAAACTTAAAGTAAAAACTACATATATTGAATGTATTTTAGACAATAGTGCCAGAGCCAGCTCAAAATAATACATATAATATACATTTTTGCGTACCACTTTCAGTGAAGCCACCTTTGATAAAAAGGGTTTATTCTGCAATTTATAACTTCATAGACCACAAACTAAAGATAATTATTGCCTTATAGATCAGATATAAGTTCTATATAACAGCAAATACAGGATTTCCAGGGAAGTTGGAACATCCTTTTGCCAGTGCAGATACTTTCTATCTGGCCATACAAATGTTCTAATCCATTAGGAAGGTAAGTGGTCATATGGTGCCAACAGTCAAAGAAATCTTTTACAGCGTGGCTTTCCAAAAGTAGTTCTTAATTGCTTATAACTGATCTATAAAGCTTCATTCAATTGCTTATTAATCATTCAAAAAACAATTAGTTACAATCTATAAACCTTTCATTAAGTCCACTTATTAAAAAGTGATATGTATTTGTGTTATCATTTTGTATTCAGCTTTTAAAAGTTGTCAGTCTGTAAGTAACTACACAACGGACCAACATCTCTTCTATTGAAAGTAACCATTTGAACAGAGAAATATTAGAGGAGGTTCAATTAGGAGGCAGGATAATAATTACTTCTTAAGGGCACCAGTGACATCAGTTGATTCTTGCCTTTCTTTCACCCAACAAACATCAGTTTCTCATTCAACATCTCCTAATCCAACCCCTGCTTTCCATCCTCCCACCCTGGACCCCCAGCGCTCACCTCCTTGCCCGTCAGAATGTGGCGGGCCAGCTTGACCTTGGCGAAGTTTCCCTTGCCGATGGTCTTGAGCAGACGGTAGTTGCCGATGTGCGGCTGCTCGTCGGAGCAGGAGGCGATGGAGTTCCTGCACCGGGCACCCAGCGAGCGGCTGGACTGGCTGGTGGCCTTGTCTGAGCGACTGGCCCCCAGCGACACATGCTGGAAGAAAAAAGGGAGAGAGGGGAGGTTAAAGAGAGCAGCAGCAGTAGTAGGCTAGCAGAGGACCTCCAGGAGGATTGACTGTACACTTGGAGCACTGATGGTCCACAGAGGTAAAATCATGTGGGCGAGGCCCTTCTGTCTCTGCTGGCTGATTATACACACTGCACACTGAAGAATGTGCTGAAGCTAAACAGTGTTTGGACAGGGAACTTTGTGTCCCTGCTCACAGAAGCTCTTTTCACACATGACCTCCGGAGAACGTCCGCAAAACTGGGTCTGGACTTTCTCTGGAGGTTGCCTTTCACACATGAGCAAGGCAGCAGGAGATTCTTAGCTCAGACACCTGAGGCACGACCTATAACTCCATTGCTGAGATCACGTGTGTTTGTTTACAGCACATCGACACCAGCATCGACCGTTATCACCAAAAGCTCTTTAGACATCTTATTCAAAGTCCTCTACGTTTATGTCACCACTTTTTCATCCTTTCAACCTGTTTCACATCTGTCCCGTGTCAGAAACACGTCACTGGCGGTGAATCCTCTGGAGGATCTCTTGCCGTGTGAGCTCATTTGGAAATTGAGTTTTATAGGGGGCTGGCCGCAGAAACTCCTAAGAATGTCTGGGGAATCTCATTCCAGAAAATGTCCAGGCATTAACCGGAGTTCAGTGCATGTCTGAAAGCAGCTACAGTACCTGCTGCATTTGTGGAAGTCACTGAGCAGTGACTGGTCCACAGGTGTGTGTGTGCTCTGACATAGACCACACAGGTAAACACAGTTACAGAAAGCAGCCTGGTGTTATATACAATATTATCTACTGATAGACTGAGAAGTATCATATGACTCTCTTACAAACAGGAGGGATGCTGAACTGAGTGAACCCATGCCCTTCATTTCTTAGTTAACAGCTGTTGTCCAGCTCGTGAACACTAGAACATAATGTTTCCATTTTGGGTTCCGCATCATCATCTTCAGAGCTCGACCACTTGACTGCTGGAGGATGTCTTCATGCAGTATGACAGACTATAAAGGTGATGCTTTCACTGCAACATGAGGCAGCCCTGAGGCTTCCACTGCCCTGTAAACAGTCAGCTGCTCGACGCTGCTTGATTCTGGAGCCCGGTGCTTCAGAGTATTGTTATGCAGCGACGACAGAGTCCAGAGCTTGAGTCACAGATCAATTTCAGCCAGGAAGCAGAGCAGAAGAGAAGGAGAGGACAACAATATGCATTTACACAAACAAAGCTTGATGTATTACAGTATGAAGCAGAATCTTGAAATGTGACAAAACGATGGAAGAGGAGGAGAGACAGAGGATAGATGGTGGGGGGAGGAAAATAACAGGAGATGGAGATACCAGGATCTCTGATGCAAAGGGGGAAGAAAAGAATGAGAGAAAAACAAATAGTGGAGAGAGGGATGTAGGAGGAAAGCAGAAAAAGGGAGCAGATGCTGGCACAGTGGTCCCTGGCCAGTCCCAAGCCCTGAGGCATTGCACTTCCATCCCCCCAGCATGTCATTTTGCTCTCAGCTTCACACACACACACACACACACACACACACACACACACACACACACACACACACTCGGAAATGCAAACACAACCATGCAGCCCTAGGCCCCTCCTTCAGACACTCCCTCCTTCCCTAACTCCCACTCCTGTTCTCACGCCCCACCTCTGAGCCAATTTGGACTCTCTACAGTCCACTCGACACATCGGAGAGTCCCAACCAAGAGCTTTAGAGGCTTTCGCAGCGTGCAGCTGAGTACATGAGTCCACCGACTGTACGCCGATGGAGCCAGGCCTCACCTGTGCCAACACGGCAACACAATGGTTCAGCCGGTCAATTCACTCATCTGTCATCATCGCTCGACTGTGGAGTGGTGACAGCAGATCCAGATGCATTCTCATGGAAGGAATGGATCTGCATTCACAATCAATCATGCACCTCTTGGACACTCACACACAAATGAACATCACACACACATACACAGTCTTCATGACTTTTGTGGACATTGCACTGATTTGCATTAATTTCCTACAGACTAAGTTTGAAAAATAACTAGTTACTTATCACTAACCCTGGACCTAACCTTACCCTGCAACAATTATTATGTGGAACCCATAATGTGACTACATGAGTAATATATGTAGACCCCCCCCACCTACACACACACACACACACACACACACACACACACACACACACACACACACAAATCTACTGGCTTAACCACCCCTCTGTGCTGAAAGCTCTGCTAACAAACAGATGGGGGGAATCTTGCCAGAAGTGTTTAAAGCAGAGAAATGACATAATGCAACGCCAATCAGTCATGTCACCATTTTGATGCACATTAATGAAGAGATAGATAGATAGATAGACTGACAGACAGACAGATAGATAGATAGATAGACAGATAGATAGATAGACAGAGTGCATGTGTGGACTCTGTTATTCTGACTGCCTCACATGAATAAATCCTCCTGGCTTCTGTCTCTCCTGCAGGCCGCTTCTGTTTTCCACTGTACTCAATGTACGGCTCTGTCTGACACCCACTGGCTCTGGGGTTGGGCGCTTTGTAGGCTGCGCAGCAACGGACTGCACATCATTTTACGCAGTAATCCCCTCGCCTCATGCGAACAACCCAGATATTCTCTATACATTTATTTTGGCCTTCTGTGCTCCTGTCCCACCCATCCAATTTCTAGAGGGGGGGCACGCACGCACACGCACGCACGCACACAACACAGCAGCAGTGGGGAGAAGCTCTAATGTGACATCACTCTCTCTCTCCACAGCCTTATAATAAGAGGTGACGGCTGGTTTTCGCTGCGCATCCCCGCTGAGTGTTATCTCATGCGGGTGGACTCATCCCGGGCTGCTCGCCTGCCATCGGCTCTCCCCCTGCGCACACACTCAAGGTTAGCACATCCTGAATGACGTGGTGCTGCTCAAACCTGCATCCGACACAACCTCCAGAGTCCCCGCACCTAATGAGGAGAAACGGCAGCATCTGTGACCCCGGTGTGCACCGCGAATAAAGCCAGAGAGCGCCAGAGGCCACATACATGAGGAGGGACGTGCACGGTTTATCCCCTGCGCGCACACGCACACACATGCAGGCTATAGGCTGTAATTGCACTTACATGGTCTCCGGTGCTCCTGTCGTTTCCAGACGGTAATGCAGATCGAGAAGACATGTTGCTTTCTTTCTCCCCGTTCCCTGAGTGGCAATCACGGCGCGTGTGCGCGGATGATATTTACAGCAGGCTCCACGCACACAATAATAACATCCGCAGATGAGTCCCACCGTCCCGAATCAATCCGCCTCTTCTCCTACCGGCTGAGCCGCGGTCGAGAGGAGACCTCTGCCTGTCATGGCAGCAGCAACGGACATCTGGAGGGGGTGGGGGGGGGGTGTCCTCAGACGAGCTGCATTTCCACCGTGCACTTTGCAGAAAACACGATCAGCGGTGCAGCAGATGCAATGCAATGCAAGTCCCGAGCATCGAAGAAGCGCTAAAATGCGGCGATGTTTGGCCGGAGCCCAGCGTCTCTGTGGCGTCTCTCCACCCCCTGCCTCATTTCGCCATACAAAACAAGCAGGGCTGCTCCTGGATGAGGATGATGACCGTCATCTCCGGCTGTCATTAACACTGAGCGACCGACCGGCGTCCTCCTCCGACCCGCGACGGCAGCGAGGGCCAGCCGCTCCGCTCTGCTGCAGCTCCCGGGGAAACGCGGCTGTCGGTGCGGCGGGGAAAAGGCCGAGGTGTCCACGGATCTGTGTCCCGGTCGGTGAGATGCGCACCAGCGTCATCCACAGAGAAGACACCGACACAGCACTTCCGGTCAGTGCTTCGGAAGTAAAAGCCCTGGTGGCGACCGCGTCATTCACCTGTATGAAACATTGGCTATGGAAACAACAGTCATACATGTCACTCATATTTTTACTTCTCAGTTCATCTGTTTCAGTTCTGTTTATTAACATATCTTAGTATTATTATTATTATCATCATTTAATAATGATTGAATGTAATAAATCGTTGTCTACTTAGCTTTAGTTTTTACTCTCGGTCAGAAAATCAATTCTTTTAACCTTGGAAGATGTTTTTACCTCTGATCATCTTTGTGTTAAGTTTGACTTTCTGTTCCCCCGCTGCCAGAAAACACCTCAGAAGTACAAGCTCACATATCTTGAATGAACATAGAGCATCAAAATTCTCATCAAACTTTTCCATAGGTCGTATTGATCATGTCCCATATAAATCATCCAGTTCTAATAATTAACTTAGTGGCTTTAATAATCTCTGTCAAATGACAGTGGATATCACAGCTCCTATCAAAACGAGGTGTGAGTTAACACCTCTCCATGGGTCGATGACAGGTTGCTTGGTCTTAAAAGACTGTGGAGAAAATCAAAAAGGAAGTAGAAAAAGATTAAATTGCATGTCTATATGAAAGACCTCTTGACTTCTTACAATAAAAGAGTAAAGAAGACAAGAGCAAATTTATTTCCAACTACAAAATATATTCAAAATGAAATCAGTTTTATCTCTCCCTGACCTAGAAAAGCTTACATGCCTTTGTCTTTTCCAGTCTGGACTACTGCAATGTCCCTTATACATGACTCAGTCAAACCTTATAACTCATTTGCAGCTTGTTCAAAATGCTGCTGCTCGGATTTTGACAAAAAAAAAAGGTAGGTCTCATATCGCGCCCCAAACAAAGTGCTGGTTCATTGTTGGGTTTCCTTATAAATTCTCAGGTCTCGACCTTAATATGTTAGGATTTTGCACTGAAAATTGAACTGAATTGAACCTTCACCTTTTACTTTTATTCATTCGTCATTATGTATTTTGTGAAGCACTTTGTAGCCTTAATATAGGTTAGTATATATTGCAAAATAGAAAAGTTCCAACAAACACAGGGTAAAACATTTTTTTTACATAAGGTGAAGAAAGCACTTGGCTGTGGGGGTGAAGCATCAGTGTCCAGACCTTTTTATATACAGTCTATGGTCAGGACAGATGAGTGCATCACAGTGGATCAATGCCCCAATTTCCCAATATTACTGTTTTATTGTGGAAACCAAATCTTCAAACTTCCTGTCTCATCCGTCTAGCCCCATGTCACTTGACGCAGTCGAGATGCGCCACATCAGAGATGTGCTGACATGTCCAACACAACACAGCCCACTGCCGGCTTTAGCCGCGTCTGTGCGTAAATGATCAGAAACTGTCCAAAGATGGCCGAAGTACAGAGCTTCACCATCCACGTCTCTGATTCATCCCGGTGTTCTCTCTGCCCTCATATGATCCGGTGCTCACGGGGGATGGTGAGGCACTGCCCTGCACAGAGTGTAGTCTGCACTGTGGCTGCCAAGGTGAAGCAAATCATTTAAAAAGACAGAGGTGTCCGTCCAAATCAGAGTATCTCTGTAATTCAATCTGCTGAAACAGGACTTAAACCGTGAGAAAATGTCCAATTAGTATTAGATAGAAGATATTAGTGGAACTCAGTTTAGAGTTGCTCACCCAGCATTCATCCTCTATGCGCTTCATATGCTAACCCATCCTCTTCTCAACACACTGAAAACTGCATGTAGGCAACCCTTGGATGAACAGGAGCAGCACCATTTCAAATCCCCTCTTTTTCAACCTCTGACATTATGATATTTCCATTGACACATTTGTTTCCACTCCGTCCATGTAGTTCTGCCTAGTGTGGACTCACAACGGCCAATCTTGACTTCCAGAGGGTCAAGACTGGCCATATCTCTGGGATATGGCCAACAGAAGAGAGGTGGACATATCATCACCTCAGGGTGCTGCTGGGATGGATTATATAGGTGGTCGTTCTGAATTTGCAAAATCGTTTTACCTCCACTAAGGAAGAGGTGGAATTTTTCATTGCAATTTCTTTGTTTTGTGGAGGGGTGCTACATGACCCAAAGAAGAACCCATTGGGTTGGATCTCCAGTTAAACAGGCTGATCCAGCAATTGTTTTCAATTTCTTGCATGATGAAATTGGGAAATTAGCCTTATCAGAGGTATGGACTCTCTAAACGCCCTTCTATTGTGGGTATAAACTCCATCTTGGGGTGTTCTTATGTGATGATCAGAGGCTAGAGGTCTACACCTGATAATACCCCAACAACTGCCTCTCTGTCTAAGTTTCTGTCAGCCAAATACTCCTTTGGCCTCCATCTGACAGTTAAAAAGGAGTTTGTTTCTCCACAGTTATCAAAGTGTTCGTTCGTTGTTGGGTTGTAAGGTCCCCACCTTGTAAAATGCCTTGAGATAATGTATGTTGTGAGTTGGCGCTATACAAATATAATTGACTTGAATAACTAGTCATTCACACAGAGGCCTTCTGTTGATGCTCATAGACTTTAGATACTGCTTGGTCTTCTTTTATGTGTTCTCCATGTTCACTCCCCTCACATTCCCAAGAATCCCTACTCTCTCATTTCCACTGCTCCTCTAATAAGTACTGTGATCTTCTGCTCAGTCTCCCTGGCAGATCCCTTTACCCCCTCCTCCAGACTTCCTTTAGTTTAAGAGACAGTAACACCACCTTGTCTGATTAGATGGTGTCGTCCAGCTCCAACTGGGGTTCTCTGTCATCTCAACAGTACACATGAGCAGGAGTGAGCAAATGATAGCCTGACACTGGCAATGCTAGCATGCTGGTGTTAAGTTGGTATAATGTTTACGGTGTTCACCAGGTTAGTTTTGCGTGTTAACAATTGCAAGCTGAGGCTGGAGAGAATGCCATTAGTTTTGCAGCATTGGAAAAATTTACAATTTTTTCTGGTGATGGTGTTCGAGGACAAGAAAAGTAAAAGGATCTACAGTGTTGTAGATTTGACTGAAGGAAAGTAGGATCTGCTTATTTCTTAAAATTATCCATAAAATCACACAGACACTTTGCTGGTGTCAGACGTGCTGGTTTGAGTTTTTCCTGCTGATTTGCTGGGATCTTCACACACGCAGCCTCTACAGCTTCCACTCAGAATGAAGAGAAGAACCAAAAGCGTCCAGTGAACAGCAGCACTGTGTTGATGAGAGAGGTCAGAGGAGAATCGTCAGACTGGTTGGAGATCACAGAAAAGCTTCTGTAACTCAGAAAACCACTCTCACAACAATGGTGAGGTGAAAATCATTGAAATGGAAGATTTACTACAGCAAAGACCACGTCAGGTTCCTCTCCTGTCAAGCCAAGAAGAGAAATATATAGCTGCACTGACACAGACTCACCGACACAGGACAGTTGAAGACTGAAAAACAGCCTGGTCTGTATCTGGATTTCAGGAGTCAGCAACATCAATCCATGGACGTCATATCACTCGGTCATGGCTTATACACATATTGTTGCTGACTATGTGCATCCCACAGTGTATCATCTTCTAATGGCTTCTTCAGGCAAGTTAATGCTTCATGTCACAAAGCAAAGTGGTTACATGAACATGACAGTGACCTACAGTGACATCCTCAGTCACCAGATGTGAATCCAGCAGAACCTTGGAATGTAATAGAACAGAAGACTGACAGATGATGAGATCTCGTGAGCTCAATATGCTCGATAATATGATATAACCTTTCCCAATAACAGTTGCTCTGACCACCATTTTGATTCAGACTGAAATATTAGAACAATTAATACCAATTGGTTGCAATGGGATGACTCATTTGGACTTTTACTGTGTTTTGTAAAGAGCTACGACTTCAAAATAGATAAGAAAATGAAAAGTGTCAAATTAGTTATCAGTCATCATACATCCAGCTGAGGCGAAATAATTGTTGGTGGAAACAGTACAAATAGAACCGAGACCATCAACAAAACTGAGCTGCTTTTTATTTATTTAACACTGATGACCAAAGTTTTTGCAATCCATACGGTCTGTGTACCAAAGTGATATATTTCAATTGCACTGGTGGACAAGCCAGGGATCACCAAAGTCAGCAGGGTTCATTCTCTGGGGGATCAAAATAAGTGTCCATCTGGACCAAAGTGGTTTCACTGACACTCATCCCTAAAGAAAAGGGCGAAAAATCATGGTTCTTCATCACAGTGATGCAAAACTACAATCCAGTATTTCCATCAAGTATTCTCGCTCATTTCCATACAAAGTCCTGGTACAGCCTCCACTTCTACTGTTGAACCACACACAGTCCTTTGCCCGACTCAAATAACAGCCATGTGGAAAGACATGTCCAGACCTCTGATGTGGCAATTCAGAGCTATCAATTCATCCATTATAAGGGCAATAATATTTCATCAGTTGACCACTAGAAGAGCGATCAAGGAATATATTTCTTTTAATTATTGATTTAACATTTGCCTCCCTAAACACTTTTTTGTCTCCCTGTTTGTGGTTATTATAAGAGAATTTGAGATAAGGACTAAAAAGTATTGACAAAAATTACAGCTGGAGATGGCACCATTGAAAAAAATCTCTAAAACTTCACATTAAGTCCGAGCACTTTGGAAGTGTGCAATCATGACAGATGACTTCCTGTCAGTGCAGCGCGGATATGTGGCTGGAAGATTCATCAAACAAACTATTTTGCTGTAGAAATGCACCACATCTAAGTGTGTACAAGGAGGAAGCCCTCAGGTTTATGAATGATGAACACAAATAACTGGGGTAGAATTTACATGTTATTACAACTGAACTATATATGTATTTCACATTTTATTAATTTAGTCACATTTTTAACAAAATTTGATTCTATTTTAATTATTATTTTTCTTTTTTAAGTTTCACTGCATACACATTCCTTGGCCTTCTGTAAAGGACCATTATGTTTGAATAATGCTGTGTACATTTTAAAGTTGTCCTGTATTCACTTGAGTTTGAGTAACAAGTGTGGACACGTAATACTTCACCAAAACCACTAGAGGGAA